TAATATATGAAAATAATGAATAGTAATATATGAATAATAATATATGAAATTTTTATAAAAAAATATTTTGTTTCTTAATACAATATAATTTGAACAATGAACCAAATTTTTTCAATTTCATAGATTCGTCTGATTTTTAGAAAAAATCTATTTTCATTTTTATGTTCAATTGCTTAGTATATAAAAATAGAAAAATTAATTTAACGAAATAGAAATAAAAATGTTTTTCTTTAATGTTATAATTTTCTTTTATAAAAATATAATATTCATTTTAAAATATTTTAACTATAAATTAATACTATAAATTTAATTACTATAAATTTATAACTATAATTTATAAAATTCAGTTCTTCAGAACAATTGATCTTTCATAATTCCTAGAGCATAAATGTTTTACGAAGTGCATACAACTCAATATGGTATGAACAAACATTAGATATGCAAAAAACTTTGCTGACAATGATGATATATCAAAAACCAGTAACTTTTTCCATTAATGTTTTATTACCAGAGCTTACTTTACGTTATTGTTGTTCGGTAAGACAAAATAATATTCAAATATATATTTTGATGAATGAATAAAGTATTTCTAACTATTAATTTTATTCTTAATTATATATTATTAACATTTCAGTATATATCAAATGCTCTTTCTATTTTCACAGCTTTACGAGCTGTGATAGAGATTACATGAATATAAATCTATTCTAAATAATTATTAATATATAATGAAGTCTTCATTATAATAGTCATTATTAGAAAATATGTAATGATAATTATGATAATCATAAGCAAATTCCATAATTGTTAAAATTATTATGGAATTTATCAATATTCTTGTATTATATTGAAAATAAATATGCGTATATAATGAAATATTAATTTTTCTATGACAGTAATACTTTAAATTTGTTAATATTTAATTATAAATTAATAATATTTAATTTAACAAATTAAATTATCATAAATATTATGCAAAAAATATATTTTATTTTCTCTTTTATTATCGTTATTGATGATGATGATGATGATGATGTTGTTATTGTTATTGTTGTTTTAATAGAAAAATGATGTGATGACAAATGGAATTGAATGAATATGTATTGAATAGATATTGTATAAATTGTTTTAAATATTTAAAAAATGATGATCATTTTTATGATGAAATTAGATTTATTTTGTACATTATGGCATTTATTAATTTATGATTCTTATTAATTTGAAGCTAATGTCAATTCATAAAATAATATCTTTAAGTTATTTCTTAATTATCATATTTGATCATTTATGAACATATTTATTTAATAATAATAACATAAAATATTAGAATCTTTTATTTAATGTAATAGTTAAATAAATTAAATTTTGAAGATATTATCACATTTATGAATGAGATATGGAAAATTTATGGATGAAACCTCTCATGATATAATATGAAATGATCATGTAATATATATATATAATGTATCAGAAATAGATAATTATTTTTTTTTTTTTGTTTCTTTTTTGTATATTATGTAATATTTCTGAAAATAAATTCTCAAACTTAATATAAAATAGATATGATATCTTATAGAATTGTATTGGAATTTTTTACAACATCATCATATTAACAGAGAAATATGACTTAGTGAAGAGAGGAAACAAAATTTTAAATTCATAATTTTTTTAATTTCCAAGATAATAATGAAAATATTTTTTTTTATTAAATATTGAAAATTGCATATGTTATTGATATTATTATTAATTAAATTATTGACGATTATCCATAATTATTAACATATTATTGTTTTATTATTGTATTTTATTATATTATTCAATTATTGTACTATAATAATCATTATTATTAAGTGATGATGAATTGTGGAATTCATAATATAATAATAATAATAATAATAATATAATCACTGTACTATAGTAACTATTATTATTAAGTGAAATAACTAATCGTATTTTGGATATCATACTTATAATTCATTAAAATTTTAATCATTCGTTGTCAAAAAATTAAAAATATTAAAATTAAAATATTAAAATTTAACTTATAAATATTTTATATAGATTGATATTTTATATAGATATTTTATATAGATGAATTCAATTTAACATTAATCTGTTCCTGAATTATTTCAATTAATATCCTCATAAAATTTTTACAAAGATGAAATATAAATAAAAATAAAAAAATCAATATATAGATAGAAATATTTATCGTTATAACAATTTCTATTATTATATATATATTTCGATAAAAACCATCTTGATTGAATATTAGATTATATTACTCAATTAAAATTACAATCTTGAAGGTAAATTTAAGCGAATTTATTTTTTCTTCTTTTTCTTTTTAATGATTTAAAATATATAAAGTTATAATCAATTCTTCTCACGAAATTATAAATAAATTTGTTGACATTGTATGTGAAATTTATATTGTTATATTAGATTATTGTATTTATATAAGTTTATAGATAAATGATAATATTAAAATTAATTAGTTTATTTATTGACTAAATTTAAAGAAATATATCTTTTTAATCTGTAATCGTTAATATCGATATGACCTAATTTTACAACTATTCTACATTTTTATGTTCTAATAATTAGTATATGATATTTGCTATAGTTTGATATTTCTTTTAACGATTTATTTATTTAAATATTGCAAAATTATTGTATTATGTCGTAGACACATATTGAGACACTGTATATATTACGAAGAGTTTTTGATTGAAATCTTTGTATGATTTCAATGTTCGAATTATGTATTCCATAATTCTATAGACCTAAACAGATTTCATAATAATCTTGTATATCAATAGTGTGTTTTCTAATTTTAATTTAGAATGTTTTTTTAGTATTCAATACAGCTTTTCTATTTTTATTTTAAGTTGTGCACATTTTTTTTGAATATATTTTTTAGTTTTCTATCTGGAATTATGCCAAAATATTAAACTGATTCATTTTGTGAAATTATTATATCATTTAATTTCATCAGAGAATATATGTTTTTGCGCAAGGTAAAAATGATGTGAATGATCAATTTATTTTCATTTACTTTTATGTTCCAGTTTTTAAAACAACTAATTATATTATTCAGATAATGTTCTTGTAAATTTTTAGAGGTTTCAGAAGGATCGTCAGAGGCAAGAATTACTGTATTGACAAATATAGTTGTGATTATTTTTTAAAAAATTAAAATATCTATACTATAGATTAAATATAGAATGGATCTAAACATACTTTGCAGAATTTCAAAATTAAATGAATAATTATTCAGAATTAATTGAGATAATTATATTTTGATATCGAACTTTGAATTTTCTAATAAAGTATGATTGTATATTTCTCTATAATATAATAAGATGTGAAAATTTTTTTTAATTTATAAGATACCAGTGTGTTACACTATATCAAATATCTGTTTAAAAAGACAATATCATTTGTATTTTTTTTTATTTTTTATATAATCGATTAGTTGAACTTGTTGAAAAAGTCGAAGTGCTGTTAGATCAATTAGATCATGACTTTTAAAAGTTTATTTTTGTAGTTATCATTAGTTTGATTTCTTTTGATGAATCATTTGACAGACGGAGAAAAAAATCCTATTTCAGTAAGTCAATTTATCGATACTTATGTGTTCTAGCTTTTTCTATAAACTTTTTTAGTTTTAAAACTTTGTAAAAATGCTCTATTTTTTGAATTTATGATTCTTGAACTCCAGAAATTGTTTTTTGTGTTAAAATCATAATCCTACTAAAAAACTTATTATCTTAACTTATTATAAAAAAATTTATTATCTTAAACTTTATTATCCAGAAAAATCTTCTGAAGAAGATATTAAAATCTTTTTTAGAAATTATATGTTTAGGGGATAATATACTATTGATATAATAATGGGATTATGTCAGTTCTATATAATATAATATACAGAATATAATATATAATACATATATAATTTTAGATAATCATGGTTATAAGTTAGGAGTACATGGTGTTTTATGTTAAATTTGATTATTACAGTGATATTATCATATGCTCTATCGAATGTTGTATTGTATACACATTTATCATATTTTTTTCTATCTAATTCATACTTGTGACATAATTAATTCATTTGTATGCCAGTAGTAGAGCAATATATAGCATATATATAGTTTTCCTATGAATTTGCTATTTTGTTATTTTTGTTATTATTTTTATTATTATTATTATTATATTATCAACAGATTGCTGATTTGTTGCTCATTTTGTCTTATTAGAATTTGCTTCAGTTTACTAAATTTTTTCATGATCTATATAATAATATTGAGTTTGTTTACATTATATATAATTTATTATATTATCTTTGTTGATGCTCTTTAAAATATTATTTGATTATTTCTATAACTGATAAAGGGATTAGTATTTTACATTATTCGTTGTTGATTATTCATGGTTTATATTCATAATGTTCATGTGTTATTTGGACTATTGATTAGATTGTATTTCGAATCTCGAAATTTGAAAATTTATATTGTTGCTCTTTATAAACTAAATAACTTTTATAGTTAGCAAAGTGATCATCTTTATATAAAGTGCATATATATATATTCTCAGGAAATATTAACGATATTTTTATAAATATAGGAGTTCCAGATATTTTACATTATTATTATAATATTATTTATTATTTTCAACAGTGTGAACTTTTAATTGTTTGATATTGGTATCGGCTGAAGCATTTTTGTTTTATATTATACATATTTCGAATTCAGAACTTTTACTTTTGGAATTTGTATTTTTTTTTTTTTTTTTGAGTTGATCTTTTGCCATGCTGAGAATTCTTATGAAATTAT